GGTCGCTTCCGAATCGGCGCATACGCGCAACAATAGCTATGGCGCGGCGACGAGGAAGGCGCGACCGAGGATGCAGTGGCAGGCACGTGGGAGTGGCAGTCGGCGGGTGGTGGTGGTGAATCGGGAACGCTTGGGGCTCTGGGGTTGTCGAGGTGGAGAGATGCGGCAAGGCGAGCGAGCGGAGAAGATGGGGGACGAGACTGCGTGCGCGCTGGCACTGTACAGCGAGGAGCGACACCGGACTAGACCGCACAGCAGGGCTTGGAGCGGTGGCTCGCAGGAACAAGACCAAGCGATGGCCTTCGTAGCTGTCTTGCTGAGGTTGTGCGACAATGCATCTGCATCACATGCGCTTCTGGCCACGGTCGGATAGGCGCGCTGCACAAAGGGTCCCGTCTGCTGTGGGGCTCGGTAGGGGATTTTGACGGGAAGGATAAGCTTGACTACCCCAGGCCACGATGCCAGAGATTCCCAGGCACACTTTGTATATCTTTGCTATGATCCACGAGACACAGAGCGCTGGCACGCTGACGCCTTCGGTAGGGCTTCTCGAAGGGTCAAGCCGAACGGTGATCATCCTACGCCATCCCCCCCAGTGGCGTCTCCTACTCTAGCTATGGACCCGCTCTCCAGCTATAAAAATAACCCTGAAAGCCTCAGCACCTCTAATCCGACGTCGCCTATACGGGAGGACATCTGTGTCTGCATTCTATGCTTGTCTATCGAAATCTGCCATGCCTATCGATTCGATAGCGGAAAGGCGCAGCAGCTCTACCAGGCCAAAGCTCGCTGATCGCCTTGCGACAGGGCGGGATCAGCCGAGTGAGCGCGTCGGAAGGGCAGCTCCTTCGAGGCCTTCAGCGACCGTGAGACTGAATCAGACGGCAGAGCTGATGCTGCAAACATCAAGAACCACGGGCTGCGGCGTGAGAGACCGCTGATCTTTGGGTGTAATGGTTGGGATTATGATCCTGCGGCATGCATGCAGGACAAGCACGAGGTACACGGAAACGCCGACGGACCCTTTGAGAAAACCATCCGATCCGAGTACATACGGCCCACGACCTGAAGGGTGCTTGCATGGTATGACATCAGATCATGGTACGAGCGATACAAGTAACCAATGGGATGCCAGTCAGTCCCGGAGAGCAAAAAGCAACTAGCACACGCACCCAAAATAACCCCCAAACACCGACCAAAACATTATTAACCGAAGTAGCCAGGAACATGAGTATCTGGCAGAGGTACCGAGCAATCAAGCAGGCGGGATCATAGTCCAGGTCGCAGCATCACAGCTGACTTCCTCAAAGTTGTGCATGACATCGAAGCCCATTGCCGAGAAGCCGTCGAAGTTACCGTCTCCGTCCATCTACTTGAGTTAGTACCTTGCCGTGACCAAGATTAGACGGCTACTTACATAGTCGAGCAAGCATGCATTGCACCCCAGCTGCTTGATCTGTCGCATGCCGAGTAGGATCAGCCCCTGCAGTAGTGTCGAGTACTCTCCCACGCCAGGCGATATGACGGGCGAAGAGATGCCTCCAGCTGCCTCGTTCAGGTCTTTCAGTGGGGGTATGTATTCGGCAAGTCGTGAGTGGTTGTTGTAGAGCACAACAGTGCCCACCAACGCACCGTCTTCTGGTCGCTTGGCTCGGATGATGCCACAAGCCGTCGGGTCCGTAAGCGCAAGTTTGTACACCTCTGCTAGACCCTGGCGGTTGCTCGTCTTGATATGGTCGAGTATCGGTCCCGCATAGTCCCACCCGTACACAAGATCAAACTGTGCGCCTGCGCTCGCTAGACTCTTCGCCATGCCAGGCGGTGGATTCCACGTCTGCAGATTGCGCGCTACCATGTTGCAGACAGGACGGGAAAGTGCGGCACCCCAGCCTAGCTGTGCAAACCATGATCGGAGCCGTTTCCGCTCGTTTCCGTGTCCGGTTGGGATTCCTAGATACATACTTGGCAGGCGTGATCCAAGCTGGAATCTCTTGATACCTTCTTTCTGGAGTAGCGTGCGAATAGCCCGATTGTGTAGCGAATGTCCGATGGAGAGCTTTCTCCTTGCTGGGTCGACGAACAAAGCTCCAATTACACCAGTGCCCGTAGCCTTGAAGAAGTACGTTGAGCAGAAGCCGTACAGAGCTTGTGTGCTGCTGTTTCTAACAACAAAGTGTGACTCCTCCACTTCTGGATGATGCAGGATGAATGAGGTTGAAGTTGCACTCGACATCTCCGACCGCTGGTTTGGTGCCGTTTCCTCTGCGACAGCTGCGACCAATGTATCCAGAGCATTACTGTCTCGCTCTTCGTTGAATATCTCGACCAACCAATGCTGTTTGGATGGGTGAAGCTTTTGGCTCTTGCTGATGGTTCCTGGTAGCGTTCCGGAGGGAGATAATTCGCCGTAGAGTACTCTGACTAGAGAGTTGAGTGCAGTCTCGGTGAAGTCATAAGTGCCTGATGGAATTAGCTTTTTTGACCTCCGTTCGTACACGGACATGACTTACATATGTAGGTACCAATTGTATTGTCCATTGCAAAGTCGTACGGTGAGGAGACAGCGACGACGATGAGAGGCTTCTCGCGCCTTTCACCACCAGTCGTGTACTGCATGTTGCAAATCATCGAGACATGCTTGGTGAATCCGTGCTGATACAGGTTACGGTTTGCGTCAGCCGTAAGTACGATGATGGCGCTCGCTCGATTAATGAGGTTTTCATGGACTGGACGGACACCATTCGCAGTGTACGATGTGTGAAGCAGTCGTCCGTTGCGCTGTCTAGCAAGAGAACGACCCAGTTCTTTGAAGACTCTTTCTCCGCTCATGACTGAAGAACTGCGGTCCCAAGCAGCTGGCTCAGGTGAGTGACCCGCTGCCCCATTAGCAGCGTCGGATATCGCTCGTGATGCAGCGGATGCTGCCAAAGGCTTCACTAATGGTGTCAATAGGAGAAGCTCCTCTTCGCTTTCAAGTATGTTTGTCAGTGGCAGAAGCCTATTCTTGTCGCGTACAACTGTGATGGAGCTGTTGTACGCTTTCGTTGACAGTGCGGTATGCGAAGGCTGTAGCTTTTCCAGGTAGTTGATGCCTGGCGGGTTCAATGCTTTTTCCCAGGAAGTGCACTTCTTCTTCATCGCTAGCACACGTCTGAGTGAGTTGAAGATACGTTCCTTCGAGACCATTTCGCTTTCTATGCCGGTCTTGAGGCCCTTCAGCCCTTCTTGTTGGAGTGAGAATGACCGGCATAGGAGGACTACGTCGCAGCCTGCGTTAACTGCCATGACCGTGCCGCCGCCTACACCGATGTTGTGACTGAGAGCATCCATTTCTAGGCACTCGGAAACCACTACACCGTCGAATTTGAGATCTTTCCGAAGAAGGTCGTCGACAACTTGTTCCGACAGACACGCGTGCATCGCGTTGAGCCCCGCTGATGACATGGCGCAACCACCAACCATCATGGAATCAAGACCTCTTTCGATGGCCTTCTTGAACGGAACCAAAGCGCTTAGACTCAGCTGTTCTAGCGACTCTGTGATGATCGGCACGTCAAGTGTTGAGCCCAGAAACTCCAGATTGCCGTACGAAGGGAAGTGCTTCCCCAAAGTCACCACGCCGGCGTCCTTGTAGCCTGCCATAAAGGCGCATCCAAAGGCGGATACTTCCTGAGGATCGTCGCCAGCAGTCCGTACTCCCAGGGGCTGATTGCGCGCATTGGTGAGTACATCCAGACATGGCCCGAAGATCCAGTTGATGCCACATGCAGCAATCTCCTGTGCGGTCGACTTAGCGACTTCAAAGGCTAGGTCCGTGGAGCCGGTTGCTGCCATTCCCATGTTACTAGGATACTGGCGGATGTAGATGTCATCGAAAAGGCTGTTGACGCCGCCATTCTCCTGGTCGATGCCGATGGCCAGCGGAACAGGGTGTCCAGCATCGTGGGCAATCTTCTGGAGCTCGTAGATAAGCGCAGTAGTATCTTCGGCGGCTATGACAGGTCAGCCTGACAATGACAGACCGAAAAAGGTGGATAGCCAACATTTGCAATTCTTGGCAGTAAGTAGTATGGAGCCAACATGATGTTCCTCGATCAGGGTACGAATGTGAGGAGTGACCGAGGTGCCATCGAAGCCCATCATGAACAGTTGGCCCTACAGCACCTTTGTCAGCGAATCCAGTCGCAGCATGGGCGGAAGCGACCCACCATAGTCCTGCATCACGGGCAAGTTAGCCTGACCTGTGGTCACATTGCGCAAACCTCAGGAAGCCTGAGGGGAGGAAATGCGCCCGACGCGAAGCTCACCTATCGAGGTCATCCCAGACAGGGTCCATGTTTTCGACCTTGCTCATAATGACAGCGCCGGTCGCGTCGCGTCGCAATGAAGTTTGTGGATGCGACGTGGGATTTCCGGGTGGGCACCAAGACTCCGCCGGCGTGACTCGCAGATCGGTAATGGTGGATGGGAGATGGGGAGGATGGCACCGTAGCATTCACGCTGTTCGCGGCTGGGGTACGTGATTAGCGAGGCGCTAGAAGCATGCACCCCCGTCCGTCGTTACACCATCCTCGTCCCTCTGCTATCAGCGACATCCACTCTGATGCCACCTCACATGCAACCGCAATCCATCCGGTTTCTTCGGCGGAATGTGATCATCGCTGTGTTACCTCGATCTCACGACGTCGGAATCCACATCCAGTCACCTTGCGCAGTCTTACAGCGTGCGCTCCACGGCAACGATACCGGCCATGGAAGGCAAGTTTGCCCGGCCGTGATGACTCAATGGCATCATCGTAGGAAGATGAGCGTAGGTATGCAGTTGCGATAGAAGTAGTAGGTAGGCGACAGATCCTTTGCAACGGTTGTTGAGTCGCGCCTGCGCAGTACCAACCATCCATTTCATCCTATCATTCTCATTTCTGAATCACATTTCTATACTTCTATCGTTATACTTGGCAAGCTTCCTTCATTCATTGGTCCTCTTGACACGACCCACGATGCCTTCAATCGTGCCAATCCCCGACTCCCCCATACGAGATGATTCATCAGGCGTGATAAAGCTCACAAACTGCCTCCTCGTAAAAAACAACGCCCTAGTCCCCCAAGATCTCTGGATCAGTTCCGCCACCGGAAAGATCCTAAACGGCCAAGAAATCCTGTACTCATATCGTGCCGCTCCAGAGCAAATCGTCGACTTAGGTTAGCTTTGACTGTACGGAATACACGTGAGACACATACTGACTTCGCACGTCAGGCGGCCGCATCCTCTCCCCCGGCCTCATCGACACGCAACTAAACGGCGCCTACGGCTTCGACTTCTCCGTAATCCCCTCAGAGCGCGAAGGCGGCGCATCAGCCTACGCCAAAGGCGTCTCGCGTGTAAACCGGAGTTTGGTAGCAACAGGCGTAACATCCTACCTACCAACCCTGACCTCCCAACTCCCCTCAGTCTACCAAACCGCACTTCCCTTCCTAGGCCCCTCAGGCACAACGCGCGACGCATCCCTAGGATCAGAATCCCTCGGCGCCCACTGCGAAGGCCCGTTCCTCTCCCCCACAAAAAACGGCATCCACAACACCTCCGTCCTACGCACCCCTGGGGTAGACAACTCCATCAGCAGCCTAGAATCCTGCTACGGGGCCTCGAACCTCACATCCCCCTCACCCATCTCCCTAATCACCCTCGCCCCCGAACTCCCCGGCGCACTATCAAGCATCCCATCCCTAACCTCCCACGGGATCCGCGTCTCAATCGGACACTCAGAAGCCACGTACGAAGAAGCCAAATCCGCAATAAAAGCAGGATGTAGTATGATAACGCACCTCTTCAACGCCATGCGTCCCCTCCACCACCGTAACCCAGGTATCTTCGGTCTGCTGGGCACACCCTCCTCCTCAATCACCAAACCATACTTTGGTATTATCGCTGATGGCATACACCTACACCCCACGTCTATAAAGATAGCGTGGAATGCGCATCCAGATGGGCTGGTGCTGGTGACGGATGCGATGAGGTTGGCTGGTATGCCGGATGGGACGTATGAGTGGACGAACGGGTCGAAGATTATTAAACAAGGCGCCCTTCTCACGCTTGAGGAGAATGGTAAGATCGCGGGGAGTAGCATTCAGCTTGTGGATTGCGTTAGTAACTTTTTGAATTGGACCGGGAGTACGGTGCCGGAGGCTCTTAGGGCGGTTACGGAGACGCCTGCACGGATGTTGGGGTTGGAGGGGGTCAAGGGCTGTTTGGATGAGGGGGCTGATGCGGATTTGTGCGTGTTGGATTTGGAGGAGAATGAGGATGGGGAGAAGAGGTTTGTGGTGGATGAGGTGTGGAAGTTTGGGGTTAGGGTTTTTGAGAGGGGGTTGGAGGCATGATTGCGAACTTCTTTTGTTGGGTCGCAGCGAAACTAGATTGTATAGAATAGATTACGCATTTAGACGGCATTCATGGTGTGGTTGACGTTCGCTGTCAAGTCAGCATGAGCATCACAGTACCAACATCAACAGAAACCCTTACAATATAACTAATGTTGTTCTTCTATCTATCCCTTCCCAATAATGAACTCACGCGAAATTTGTACTCGCGGTTCTGAACTCCCCCATGGCAATATATACAGAAGCAGCGCCGCGACAATATGCGCCAGTGTAGCCCCCAAATCAAAGGCCTACTTTCCGTCCCAGAGACGATACAGAAATGCGAAAGCTATAAACATAGCATGCTACATGTTTGACTAGACAAAAAGAGATGAGTAAAAAGAAACCGAAATATGCCAGTGATGCGTAGAGACTCGTAAGTCAGTATTAACAAAACGCCGTGGAACACCAAACAGGCGAAATGGACCCAATACCCGTGTGGAGAAGAAATGAGATCGACAATCATGCTGTGACATCGTTGCAAGAAGAAAAAGAAGCGCTCTAAACCAGGTTCGTCGTTTACTTGAACATCCACTGACAGTGACAAGCATCATCAGGGTCTACGCGGCGTTGAAGATCAACAAGGTTCTCGCGCTTGCTCTTCCTGTCGAATGTGATGGTTTGCGAAGGTTGAGCGGCAAAGTACTCTTCGTAGCTGGGATCTGACTCTTGTAGCCATATTCTGATTGGGCTGTCGTTCGGGCTAGGTGATGTTACTATCTCGCCGTTATCGAGCATGAGCATCTGTTGACAGTATGGTTGTGACGCCCCAGGGAGCCGGCGTTCTTCTATCTTGACGATCCGGGGATAAGGTGCCATGCGAGGGGCTGAAGAAGCATCTGACTCGGAATCTCGAGCGCGAACGGGTGACGGGGCGGCCAGGTTGACAGGGGAATTCGTTGGAGACGCTGTAGTAGTTTGTGTAGAGCTGGTAGAGACACTACTCTCAGTCGGCACAGCGACAGCAACATTTACAGCCGCATCGTCGGTTGGGTCGGGCGTGGGTGTAGGCGTGGGCCATTGGGTAGGGAACGAGGTAAATGTGGCTGCCGTCGAGTTGTCGTCAGCGTAGATGTAGCCCTCGATGTATGTCTCGTTCCAATAGCAATACCAGGGCGTATCACCAGGTTGAACCTTGAAGCGCTGTCTGTATTTCTCGTCTTGTCGTTTTGAGAGTCCTGACCCGGTACTAAGCTCGGTGGGTGACAAGATGACTAGCTTATCGTATCGAGCAGAGAAATGATAGGCTGGACCGTAGGCTTTGAAATCCAGATCGAGTACCAACTCCATCGGCTTAGTATCAAGCACAGGAGTCTGGAGGCCATATAGTATAGAGTTCGACGGCACCGAAGGTCCGCTACCCATGGACGCAACTTGTTGAATCTCACCACCAATGACGGTATCATTGATAGTTATGACGAGCGGAGCGAAAGTCATCCTGCATGACCATGCAGAATACTGATTTGCTTGTGTTAAGCATCCCGACTGTCCGTATTGCGGTAAGCCCAGAGGAAGGGCGAAGGATCCTGTTGGTAGCGGCAAGAGGCCAGATGGTGTTGAGATGGGAACGGCGTCGAAAAGCGATCCATTTTGACCCGTAACCTGCGGTTGTCTAGCGAGAGTTAGTAGATGTTTTCGTTGATGGATATTGAGTACTTACGCTTCCTCATGAGGGCTGCCATTTTCATTCTGGTCGTCATCATCATTGTGTTTCTTGGCAGCAAAGGTACCAATGGCTGCTCCGAGGGCGACAGAGAATACTAGTATGAGGACAAGAACCACAAGCGCAACGCCCATAGGCACCCTTCCCCATAGTTTCCTCTTACGCCAACTGACCTTGCCTTCGACTGGCTCCGCCTTCTCCGAGAAGTGGTTCTCAGACGCCAGTAGAGATGCAGAGGACGAGTCAGAGGGTTCTGCTGGTACGGTACTGCTTTGTGTAGCGGCAGAGTTGGTAGCCGCAAGATTGCCGGTTTGGGTTTCCGGTCTCTGGGGTGGCAACCGGGCGGGTGTGACGGACGGGAGTAAAGGAACGGCAGGTAGAGGGGGTGGCGAGAACGAGGTAGTGCTCAGCGGCGAGACTGGTGATGCGGGTGTGTTGAAAGGATCCTCTGCGTCAACTTGGACGGGCGCGGGTATGACACGCGACGACGCGCTTGCCTCGGCTGCCAAAGAAGCCTTGGTGGGTCCTTCCTCTGGATATCTCGAGTACGGCGGCAGCTGCTCGGTGTGTCCGTCGGGTCCGATAATATCCTGCTCCTCGCCATCCGGCCCAAGCACTCTGTGGTAACCATTGTTCAGGCCCGGGAATCCCACGGGAATAGTCGACTGGACCTGAGGTGGAGGTGGCTGGGCTGGCTCGTCTGGTGACTCTTCGTCGACAATGCCGCTTTGCGAGTACATGGCATAGGGATGTGTCGGCCGCTGCAGTGACATTGACCGATGTGGTTGGCGTTCTGTAGAGCTCGTTGCTACGCTGAGTGGCCGTGCCATTGATAGCTGCGGGTACATGCCATATGGGTGGCTCGGGCCCGTCTCGAACGGGTTCTCGGAATTGCTCGTTGTCGCAAAGGAACCCGCAGAGCTCACAGAGTCGCGATGTCCAAGGGGTCTATGGTGGCTGGGTCCTCTGTTGAGGGGTGGTCGGCCACCATCTTGCGTCATCGAATCCCGCACCTTGGCCGTGCTGTTTCGCGTTGCCGTCCTTCGCAGGTCGCTCTGGTGACTCTCGGGCGCCTTGGACGTCGATGGTTGTCGTTGCAGCGCGTCTATCCGGTCGTGATTTTGGCGGTCGCCCTGAAAGGGCTGGCTCGCGTTGGCTGGTCGGAAGCCATCCGAGACGGAGGGCATGAAATCATCCTCGTCGGGGTCGATTTCGTAGTCGTCGTCAAAGACATCGGGGTTGCTCGGCTGGCGCGGTGCTTCGTTGTTGTCGCTGCTGCGTCGGTCCATGACGCCGAACGGTCCCTGAGCCCCAAAGGCCCTTCCTGGTCCCCCTTACAGTCCTCCCCGATGGCAAAGCAGGCGTGTCGTCAAAGAATTAATCGAGGTAGTGCGCGATCGGTAGCGATGAGCGTCGCGCGGGTAGCGAGTGTGGCGAGAATTGGCGTGTGTCGTGTCGTGTCGTTGGTAGCGGAGTGAGGGTGTATCAGGTTTGGCAGAGGTTGTCCTGAGACGCTGGCGCCACTAAACGGCGCACGGGCGAACACCCAAGCCTGAACATCGATAAGCACCCCTTCGACATCGCATCCTTCGGCTCTCTGACCAGCCCATCAAGCTTCTGACATGTGCACTTTAGTTTCTGCTATGTACCTGCACCTTCTGCGCTTAATTTCCTCCCGTCGTTCTTGAGTCGCTGCGAGTTCATTTTCACCCCTCTCGCATTAATATAGAGCTACATTAGGACGACCTGGCCTTACCTCATGTGCTCTGCCGCCTTTCTGCATCATATTCACGTGCACTCAGCGTCATGCACGGGATCGCAGGCTCTACGATATGCCACCAGTCGATTGGCCCGGGCCCATCTACCCTACCGTCGGGCAAAGTGCTTCTTTCTGATCAGACAGAACATATTTAAAACAGCTATTAGGCATGGTGCCCGACTATGACATGGTGCATCCGGGATCGTGGTTGAGGCTGTCATCTGGTCCGCGACATCGACATGGCGGTGGACATTCGGTTTTGCATAGCTTCCCGAACTGTAATACGTACTGACAATATGGGACTCGTTGTGACAGGCGATGAAGGTAGCGATTGCTGCAGTGCCATCTTTCTGCTCAGAGCTGCTCAGGTCCCGTGTGCTGTCATCCGCCTGATCGTCAGTGACTCCGCTCCCGCTCCTAGAAAGAAGCTTTGGATAGGAGTGTTGATGCCCTGTCACCATACGACATTTTGGATAATAAAGTTGGAGAGCGAACCGGGCACATGGTACTTATGTACTTATGCTCTGCATCGGGGAGCCCATGTCAACCCTAGGGCCATGATGACAACGGCGAGGAATGCCTAGGATGGCCCAGCCTGTTCGCTCAAGGTTTGGCCTGGGCTCCGACATGCGGCTATGGGGATATCAATTCACCCGAAAAGTCGTACCTATAACGTCAGTTGTTCTCATCCTAACGCCACTCCCGGATACCTGCATCGATTCCATTCGTCAGTTGAAGTCTGGGCCGTGCTTGACATCCCTTATCCGACTTGGGATGCTCCTGAACTGCTTTTTGTCATTGATCGTCTGAGAACACAACTGCAAGCTGAACTTAGAGTTTATATGCGTTTACGATACCACCTTCCATAGAAGAAGCCAAGTGATCTCGGTGGATTACTACCTATCAAAATCATCCCGCCCACCAAGTAGGTCGTAGATAACGACGGCGGGAATCTAGGCAGCAGCCTGGCTAAACGCGAATGCCCTCATTTTCGGCCGTGTTCTACTGAGAATGTGTGATGCCCTCAGCACAATGGGCAACTCGGGTCCAAAGCAATGACGGCCTTCTCGTCCGATGTTATCAGATAGCTTACCATCCCTCATCCAACACAGATACCGCAGCATCGTGACGCGGCATTACGCATGCTGTGGAGGCTGTGTTCTGGCAGGGCGATAGGTAGCCAAATTTGTCGAGTATCGCGGATGAGGTTGCTAGGGGGGACTTGTTGTGATGGGCTGATGGTTCCTGACTAGCTAGTAAATCCCTGCATGCCAAGGAGCACGGCGATAGGTCGTCGAGGGAGTACGTCCTCCGCCCG